TGGGGGCCCCGGCAGCGGCTCGGCGGCCGTCCCCAAGCACAGCACCGTGGTGGAACGGCTCCGTCAGCGCATCGAAGGCTGCCGGCGGCACCACGTCAACTGCGAGAACAGGTACCAGCAGGCTCAGGTGGAGCAGCTGGAGCTGGAGCGCCGGGACACCGTGAGCCTCTACCAGCGCACTCTGGAGCAGAGGGCCAAGAAATCGGGCGCCGGCACCGCCAAGCAGCAGCACCAGAGCAAACCCCAGCAAGATGCGGAGGCTGCCTCGGCGGAGCAGAGGAATCACACGCTGATCATGGTGAGGGCGCGCTGGCAGCGGGCTTGGGGCGCGCGCGCGCGCGCGCCTGGGGGGTGTGCTGGAGCTTCTTACATGGGGAACGGGGGTCTGATTTGCACGGTGGGCGAGGTGGGCCGAAGCCGAAGGGTTAACGTCAACTTTTCTGAGGGGGAAAAGCTGCGGTCGCCGCTACCTGTTAATCTGTCAGGGTTGTCAGATTGGGTAAGAGGGGGCGAGAGGGGAGAAGCCAGTCACGACTGCGAGGGGCGGAGGGAGCCTGGAGGAGCGGTGAAGGAAGGCACTGGAAAAGTTTTTCCCCCTCTCCTTTTCTTTGCTACGGATTTGAAAGAGAGTGAACCCTGGAGTTGAAACCTCGCTCCTCCTCTTCACCGCTCGCACCCTACCCCACCCCACTCCTCGCCGTGCCGCCTCGCCTCCCCTGACCCGTCTCCCTTCGCCCACCCCTCTCCGCTCGTCCGCTGGCCGCGGAGAGAAATTGATGCTGTCGCAGATTCTGGGTGGGCACCAGGCCCTCGATCCCCGGGGGAGGTGGGGGAAGCGAGAGGCTCTTGCCTTCTCTCCCCAGCTCACCCACTTTGGGCTGAGAAAGTCTGAGAGTTTTGTGAATGAACTTTGAAGTGGGTGAGAAGCGAGCGAGGATGGCCGCGCGCGCGCCTTCGCGGGAGCGCGCACGGGTGCCGGGCGCGGGTGCGCTCCTCCGCGGCAGGAGACTGGGGGCTGGCCCGGCAGGTGGAGCCGCTGGTAGGGTCCAGGGGAGAGCGACCCGGCGCAGGCGGGAGGGGTGAATTGCATCTTCAGCCTGCGCCAGGAGTCCCCGCCACGTAACTTCGCTGGGGATTGTGTCCCCTCCTCCTCTTAAACTTGCACGCACTGAGCTTCTTCGCTTCGACCCCCGCCAACTTTCCGGGCCTGTCTAATAAGCCCGGAGGAGTGGATGAGAGCAGGGAGGTGAAAGAGGCTTAAATGGCAGGGTGGGTGGGTACGAGGTAGACTGAGCAGCCAATGGCTTAACTTCTTCGGGAGGAAGGGGCAGTTCCCACTCGCTAACCCGGAGGGTAGAATCCTTTCTCTTATCTCCTCCTCTGGATCTTTTGCTTTCCTTTCGGGGGTGGGGGCTGGGGGGCGGAAGCTCGGAAAGGTGTCTGCAGCCCCTTCCCCCACCGCGCCACCCGGGTTAGTGAGGCGCGGGGGTGCGCAGCAGGCGAGCGGTGGGAGTCCGAGCGCCTAGCGCCTTTGCCGGTTCCCCTGGCGCACGGCACCTTGATCGGCGGTCCTTGCCGCGAGAGGTGGATCAATCGCGCACGTCCAGAGCCTGGAAGTCCTCGGCGCCCGGGGTGGTGGCGGTGCCGCCGCAGGCTAGCGCCGGGCGCTCAGGCGGGCGCTCCTTGACAAAGAACCGGCTTGGGGGAGGGGAAGAGGCGAGGCCGCCCCGCTCGCTCCCCACCCTCTCCACCTCCCCCGCCCCGCACGTGAAGAGGAACAATTTGTTTATCTTGGCCTTCAAGAATCCTGCCCTCCTCCCTGTTCTCCGAGGCCGCCCAGCCCCTCCTCCCTACCCTCCCTACCCTCCCTCCTAGGCGCGATCCTGCCCAGCCCCGCCGG